GGCCGGGTGTCGCGCGCCGAGGCTGGGGGGGAGTCGTCGCCGCCGCCGCCGCCACCGCTACCGCCGCCGCCGCCGCCGCCGAGGTGACTGAGGAGAGAGGCGCCTCCTCGCTCCCGCCCCCGCCGGACTTCAATGCCCAGTCCCCAGCTCGCCAGCGTGAGTGCGCCCCTCCCGGGCGGCCCGCGCCGGCGCCCGGGGCCTCAGGCAGGGGAGGGCGGGAGGCGCCGCTGCCATTAGCGCAGGCCGGAGACACGTCCCCGGAAGGAGGGCCGGGTCGGGCCGGGCCGGGCCGGCGGCTGGCGGCGAGTGAGGGAGCGGGCGCGATAGTGTGTGGAGGAGTGTGGGGTGTTGGAGCGCGTGGGGTGGAGCGCGAGTGTGTGGTGCTGGAGAAGGTGAGTGTCCTTGTGGGGGCGCGGAAGGGGGCGAGAGCGGGCTGGGGGCAGCAGGGGCGTGAGGAGAAGAGTGAGTGGGAGCGAGTCCGGGGGAGGACCGTGGGGAGCGTGTGGGCATGACGGGGGTGAGGGTGTGGCGTGGGTGGGGGGATGTCGTGAGTGCCCGGGGAGGTGAGTGGCGCCTGAGCGAGTGTGCAAGCTGCCAGCGTTGTCCAGCGTGTGAGCAGGGATCCTGGACGCCTTTCTCCTTAGTCTTTGTGTGTGTGGGTAGTGAATCTTGGTATCTGGGTGTCAGGGACTTCACTCCAGGAGCATATCACGTCCCTGAGCCTTTGCGTTGAAGGAGGAGGAAAGGATCTGAGTCTTCTAGTGACACATTGCTATCTGGCACCAGGAACCCCCTCCAACGGATGTGGCTTTTTTTTTTTTTTTATTTTTAAATCTCCCCCCATCCGCGCTGCCACGTTTCATGAAATTGACATAAGTTTCTGAAATGGTCAAGGGTATGCTTGTCATCCCATCTTAGTTTGGGGGTTCCAAGAGCTAACACAACTTTGAATCTTGCCCATTATGCTCTTGCCTGTATTCAGAAGCATAAACTTTTTTGTAAAGTACTGTTAATTTTTTAGGTGAAAGTTTGTATTAGGTAAGTTAAAGTGGAAAAATTGAAGTAATATCTTTTGGATTGTAACTATTTCCTACCTTTTTGGAGAAAGGCTCCTAGGAAATAATAGTAGTGTTAACAGTGATGAAGAAAAACTGTAGGTTAGTTTACTTCCTGGAATTTGTCAAGAAATATATGAAGACACTAGTTTTGGTATCACTGTAGCCATTCAGCAAATGCTTGTCAGTTTAGAGTCACCAAACTACAATTACTGCCTGATGAGTGGATCGTAGTTGTTATCATACTCAATATTACAGTGGAGTTTTGTAGAGGAAGTGGTTGAGGTTATGCCTCATGAAGTGTGTGGAAGGGAATTAAGAATAGAGGAGGACCCACCAGGATCTCAGAGTCACTGAATTAGTAAAACCTCATGAGGTTGCCAGGATTCAATCACCTCTATCCCCTACTAGCTATCTAACCCAGGGGTGCTGTACTGCTGAACTGTATCTCTAGCTTTTTTTTTTTTTTTTTTTTTTAATACATTCTAAGACAGTTACTAAGTCATTAAATCACTAAGCTTCCCAGACTGGGCTGGAACTTTTTTTTTTTTTTTTGAGAGACAGGAGCTTGTTAACCTGCCAAGGCTGACCTTTCCTGTTTCAGCCTCCTTGAATAGATGGGATTATAAACATGTGCTGCTGTCTGTGCCTGGCTGATCCTGATTTTTAAAAAGTTGCTTATTGAATGGACTAATCAGTGTTACTGATTTTTCCCATCTGATGTAGAAATAGGGATTCTTGGAAGAGTGCTTTAAGTATTATTATTTTATGCTTCAGTGGTATAATTATAAAAGATAATGATGTCTCAGAGGTTGGGCTCTTTCAATATGAGTTAATGTGGATTTTTTGGTAGTGCACCTAATAGAATTGTAGGCAAATTGTTGGTACAGTTCAGAATAGGAGTCTGAAGTTACATTTTTCTTAAGAGAATTTTTTTTTTCTCAGTCACTAGTATGTTACTAGTATATGGTGCTTTGAGAAGTAGTATTGTAAAGCTGAGGGGGAGGGAAGGAAGGAATTAATGAGTATCAAGTGCCTGCTATGCTACAGGTGTTTTTATGTTCTCATTTCATCCTTGCAGCCATAGTAATGATGGTAAGGATCTTCATTTGCATTCAGTTGGCACATTTTGAGTTGGTTTCTGTTCACCAACCCCTAGGGATATGTGATGAGCCCCAATGGACTTATAGGGATGAGATGAAGAGATACAGACTCATAAAGTTAAGTAACTTGTCCTAGCTTTTATGCAGCTAACAAGAATGGGAGCTGAATTAAATATTGAGGTCTACCTAACTCTAAAACTCCTGTTTGCAGGGGGCTGCCTAGTACTTTCAGTGTATTGTCTGACTTTGTCTCTGTCCTTGCAGCTGGTCTGGGTGAGAGCTCTGTGAATTAAAGAAGACAGTGGCTGGAGGCAAAGGGCTGGTTGGGAAATGCTGACTTGAGGCTCTTTGGGGCCTAAGCTAGGTTTTTATGTGGGAGGAGATTCTTGAAACTGTCTTGGGGCCTCAGGGTGTGTGCTTTGAGACAGTTTTTACAAGGCACCTGGGATATGTCTGGATGAGGGAAGTCTGATTAAAGAAATGTAGTAGACTTTTAATGTATTTTGACTATCGGTGGGTATAGAAAGGGAAGAGTATTTGTTGGAGCTAAGAGTTACCTGGAAGTTGCCACTTTGTGGAAGTTTCTGTTGAGCTGTGTGGGATACTTAAATCAGGAGTTTGTGAGGAGCATGTGAGAAGACATGTGAAAACACTTTGTTAATTATAAACTGAACTACAGACACAAAATAATATTACCAGTTAAGACTTTTTCTCCTAAGGCAACAGTTTAATTGTTACATCTACTAGCTAGAAAAGGCCAGTAGTATTTTAGAACACTTTTACAAATGAAAAATAGTAGAACTGCTGAACAGGATATTTTCTGACTCAGAACAGCAAAAATCAGACCACTCCCTCCATGAGTCAGTCAAGTAATATTTAATTGGAGTGAACCGAGTTTATAGGCAGAAGCCATTTACAACATCATGAGCTTTGTGGCACTAGGGAAGAGGAAATATTTGAACGCTTTTTGCATGCAACTTTTAAAAGTCTAAAAGTCACAAACACACAATACACATATAGTTTACTGGAAAAAAGTTGTGAACAAATTAAATTAGATTACTTTTTTAAAATTTACTTATGTGTGTGCGTGTGTGGCCAGCTCAGCCCACCAGGGGGCGGGGCTGGCTGGCATGTGGTGCTGGGGGATTGAACCGAGGTCCCTGTGCTTTGCTAAGCTTGCTCTAAGTAGGTGCTTTAGACCACTGAGCCATCTCACCAGCCCCATTATCATCTTAATCATATTCTTTCATTTAGCTAACTTCCTGCCCAATCTCTTGAGACTTGATGTTTCATAGAAGTGCTTAGTGTAGAGCTGAAGTGAATGGTGCATACACATCTTTCGCTCCTTGGAGTTGTAGAGGTCTAGACTGAGCCAAAAACTCACC